CAAGTCAGAGGGGAAATGAAAGAAAGGAAGCTGCCAGTAGTGCTTCTGAGTGACTCAGAGACAAACAAACCCCCGTGGAAACACGGGGTAAGCCCAGCCCTGACTTAGCGGCTCCGAGGGAGCGAAGCAGGACAGCACTAGGAGCCGAACCGAGCGCGGGGAGATGCTGGGGCGGGCTGGGCAGCTCGGGCTGGGCACGGCCAGCGGTGCCTGTTCCTCTGGCACGAGGCTCCCAGGGCTTCAGCTCACACAGCAGGGCTCACTGCAGACCTGCAGCTCTCACCGGGGCCCTAGGCCTCGCCTGCCCCCACTGCCGCCCTGGGCACGCGGGGGCACCTTCCCTTCCTGCCCCTGCTGCAGTACATTCATCACACTGAGCATCTGCGTTTATCACTACACCTTGAGACGTGTGTGCAGCTCCTGGCGAGGCTGTCTCAGTCACCCGAGAGGAGCTTGGAGGGAAGCACATCCTTGTGGCCTGTCACACCACGGACACAGCTCCTCCAGGCTTTGCTCTGCTTGCAGTTCACCAGAGTTCCTGGCTCTGCTTTCCTCGGGGTTATAGTTCTGCTCACCTGCTGTTTGTAGCATCCTTAGGGAGAATGACAGACCTCATGTTTGGGAGGGAGAGAGGAAAGAAAAGGAGGTTGGAGTCCCTGCAGAAAAGCCACTGCCGGAGCTGGCTGTGAGGGGCTCTCGGGGCTGCGCTGCCACCTCTGAGCTGGGCACACTCTGCAGGGAGGAGGCATTGGCTGTCATTGTGTCTGTGGGCAGTGCCCCGTGGCTGAGCAGGACACAGCTGCTGGAGTATCATCTTTGCACACTGCAGTCTGTGGTGGTGCTGAACAGGACAGTGTTTGAGGCCTGGATTTCTTGTCTCGCTTTCTCCAAGTCCAAGAGCCTGACTACCCTGAAGAGCAGAATCCAGTGCCTGCCCTTGTGCCAGCAGCCACACACTTCTTAGGGAGTCCCAGCAGTGGTCTCTGCACTGGGATGAGGCTCTGGTTCCAGCTGGACTGGTCTCGCACAGTCCCAGACCAGAACTCACTGCAGTCCCTCCACGGTGCTCCGTTTCTGAAGCTGCAGGACAACAGGACAAAGGCTGACAGGTTTCTTCTGCACTTTGGTTTGCAGGGAATCGGTTCTCCCTGGGCCAGCCAGGCTGAGGGGGGACTGGGAGAAAGGCCTTTGGGAGCAAAGAGCCTATATTTGGTGGGGAGCTCTGAAATGAAGTGCATGACATCAGTTCTCTGAGCCTCTCCTTGCAAGCTGTTAAACTAAGGCAATTTATAGTCTTACTTCAATTTATTTGCTGTCAGCAGAGTGTTCAACTATCCTACCCAAGGATGGCCTTATATAGTGATTATTTTTCAGCTTTTCTTGTGGGCAGCAAGTTTCTATGCTGACCTGGGAAAGAGGGAGTGCAGCACAGATTGCAATGGACTTCATTTTGATCTTGCTGACTTTACAGCCTGGGTTTCCACAGCAGGAGTGTTTAAAGTTGGTTTTAAATTTTCAAGGATGTGGGGATGAAGATATATCAAATAGTGCACATGGATCCTAGGGAGAACAGAGGTAAGATGCCTTCACATCGGTTCTCCTCACTGAAATGAGCTTTGCATTGCAGTGGTGGAGTGCACTGTGCTGGCTGGGAAGGAACAGCTTGCTTGGAAAGGGGGAAAAAAAAGATAAAAACAGATAGAAAAGAGTGAGGAGAATAAAGAAAGGCCTCAAATTCCTTTCCATTCTTTTCAGATGTGCAAATGTGTTCTTTCCCTCCACACGTGAGAGCAGAAGCAGCGATTGGAGTCTTGGAAAGTATTTGCAGTTTTGCACTGTGGCAGCAGAGTCTGTGAGAGCCAAATCATGTACCCTGCAGGTGCTCAGTGCAGCTCCTGGTGTGACCCTGCCAGGAGTGCTCTGACCCTCATGTAACTGGGGAAAGTCACTCCTGACGTGTTGGACTGTAGCTTGGAGGGAGCGTTGAGAACTCGGAACCTGAAGGGTTAGGCCAAGAGCCGTCTATGTGCTGTTGATTGGTTCCATCTGATTCCAGTCACTCCTTTGCAGAGTTTCTGTCATTTCTGCTCTTTGAGGTGACTTGATGGTTGTGACTGAAGGGAGGGATCTCTTGGGGACAAGGCAGAGTTCTGTACCATTATCCTCCTTGAGTTTGAAGAGCATGGACTAGCAGGAAGCTTTCTGAAGTATGGAAAAGAACCTACTAAACTTAGGACCCCAAATGTCAGTAGTTTCACAGGCTTTTCCTACTGAGGTAAACTCTGTTTGGGGGCCAGTGGCAGGCCTAGGCCACCACTCCTGCAAAGGGGACGAGGATCTCTGAGCAGTGCAGATTGCTTAAGCTAAGCAGAGAACACAAAATAGCCCCCAAACAAACCATGGGAAGCTTCTCTCCAGACTGCAGTGGGAATCGAAAGGCTGTAGGCCTTTTTTGGAAGCGAGGAGAGATCCTCAGCGAGCACAAACTGCTTGGGCTTGCACTGAGCTCCAGGCTGCATTCCTTCCTCGGCCGTTGCTGTGCCTGGGAGGGCTCCTCTCTCTGCTCCCATGCTGCTCCCGGTTGGAATGGGTTTCAAGCACTGCAGAGATGGTTTGTGCACAGGAGAGAGGACACAGGCAGTGTTCAGCCAGGCTGTTCTTCGCCGTGGAGCTGGACGTGCTTTGTGTCAGAACTGTGACTGCAGCTCTGCTGCTGCTGGGCCTGGACGTGTAGCAGCAGCAATGTCTGGCAAGGATTGCAGGCAGGGTGAGAAAATCCTGCGGGAGGAGCTCAGGGTGAGGCAGAGGGACGCTCCCGGGCGGCTCAGGAGCGGGCACAGCTCTGGCAGGTGGAGGTGGAGGACTAGACTGTGCCGATGGCCACGGGGCCCGAGTGGAGCCATGGACATCTCTGAGCTGTGGCAGGGAGAGCCGAGCGGGCGCCGCGGCCGGGGCTCAGCGCGGGACAGGGTGCAGCGTTGTGTGCTGAGGACTGTCCCGGGTTTAACAAACTGATCCAAGCCTTAGGAACTCTTGGGCCTGACTGTGAGGCAGGCAGAGCTTTACATGGTCAGGGCAAGTCCTACAAAGTCAGCGAATCAAAGCTGCCGCTGTGTCCCGTGTCTCCCAGGGACCAGCGTTTGCTTTGAGTGTTACTGCTCACTGAACCAGCACTCTGAGACCGATGGGTGACCGGTGTCCTCTTTTGCCACAGGTTTTGAAGCAGTCGTGCACTGAGATCTTGTATCTGGAGCCATCCAGTGTCTGCGTGGGAGGTAAGTCATCACTTCAAAGTAACAGTCAATTATTACAGGACTGTGGTTTCCCTGTTCTACCCCAAGGAAAGCTGCACATGTCTCCAGAATAAAACACCCCTAACCTAAGGAGGTCCTCAAGGAGTTAAAGATCAGATCCTTCTCTGTTGACTCATTGCTCTCCTCAGAGGAGCTTCCAGGACCTGCTTCCGTAGCTTGGGTAATGCACATGGACGTTGGAGAGCATTTACCTGCCCTTCTCCCACGAGTCCTGCTCTGCGCTTGCCCCAGAATCTGTGGGGTGTAAGCAGTAAAGCACATGACTGCATTTCTGGGCAGCAGGAGCAATACATTGATGAAGTAGAAGAGTTGCACAGAATTTTAAGGACTTGTTTCCTTCCTGGGCTTCACAATCCACACGTAGTTTGAGACCCATCAAAACAAGGTAGTTGCAAAGCCTCACTTGGATATTTTTGTAGAAACATGGATCTTCTCAGTGCAGTTGGTGGCCCTGGTAAACTGTTTTCACTCCTCCTCTGCACAGCTCACAGACAGTGTGGCCCTTAGGCAACTTCCAGAGGAATAGCACTAAGGAGAAACGTTCTCTTCATCTGGTGCTTCAAGTGAGCCTGATCCGGGTTTGGGGAGATGCCTTGTGCCAAGACCCACATTTCTCACTTTCATTCACTGCAAAACTGTTCCTTACTCTGCAACTGAGTCCCAGATCCTGCTGATAGTCAGACTCCACTCCCAGTTTCGCATGGCTGCCTCAGGGATAAAGGTTTGGGGCCAAGTCTTTTTTTTTTTTTTTCCCTATTGTGGCCTAACAAGAATTGAGTGGAGGGATTAGTGAAAGAGCTGCATAAGTTGGAGGTGTCACTGTGTTGTGCTTTGTCTATTGCAGACCAAAAACTGCCCTTGTCTAACTTACTATAGTGCACTACAGTTTGTGATTTTGGGTGTTTGCTTTTCTCTCCAGAGGAGTTTCAAGTTGTTCTTAGAGGAAGTGGCTTAACCCTTGTTGGGAGAACCGATGGTGTGACTTGTACCTATCATGTGAACGGAACCACAATCCGTAAGTGTCAATGTCTGAAATCATCTGCCTTTTTATCCTCACTAAGTGATGGAGTTTGCTTCTCTTCACCTCAGTTGATTAAAATTGAAAGAGTAAAATATCAGAGGAGGAAAGCAGGAAAGGTCTGAGGATCAGTAGGAGGAGGCAAGTTGTTTCACACCTTGCACACTGGTTGGATTTTGCTACCTGCTGCTGTCAGCTGTGAACTGGGGGTGGTGTTGGCAGCACAGCTGGCTGTGAGTGTGAGCACAGTGAACACCGTTTGGCTCCTGATGCTGGGGCAGGCAGATGTGTGCCCCAACAAACCCATACCTGCAGTGTACTGACAGAGCCCCTTCCTGCCACACCACCCAGGCCGAGACACCTTGCGGTTGCCAAAGGCACTTACCTTGTCTTGGAAGGTCTCTGCCTGTTCTGGTTGCTGTGCCAGGTGTGGAGCGCTGTGCTCTGTGCTTCAGGGGCACAGCTGCCCCTCCACGATGGGGAGTCAGTCCTCCTCCTGCAGCAGCATGGAACAAGGCCAGGTCAGACAGTGGCTGCAGTTTTGCATTTTGCCATGCTCCAGCAGCTCCACGTCCCAGCAGCACACTCACCCCGAGCTGGGCTCCAGGCTGCTGACCTGTGGGAGGCAGTTCTGCTTCAGGCACTGACTGTGGCACACTGTACAGCCACTTTCCTGTAGCTCTATCTGAGTCTGGTTTTTATACCCAGAAACTCGAGTGGATGGCTAGGGTAAGTACATCCAACTCCCAGCTCTAAGCAGCATCCCTCAGAGGCCAGCCAGCCTGGAAAGTGACCAGAGATGGACCTCTAGAAAACAGTCCAACTGATTCTGCCCTGCCTAATGTCTGATTCTTATAGAAGCCTGTCTCAAATTCCTATCCAGCTGACCCTGTGTTTCCGGTGTGTGTTCTTCCTCACCCTGGATATCATATGTGCCAGAATAGACATCCAATCCCTCCTGCCTGCTAAGCACCTACAATAATTTGTCCCAGTAACAGGATAGCCCACGAGTTCTGCATCAAGGCAGCCTGTGTCAGTCAGTTCTGCTTGTATAAATCTCCCTTCAGTTTCCATTACAATTGTCACCTCTGTTTCCTATTGCCCACAAACACTTGCTAGCATCTGATGTGAGAACTGCCGACTCCAGCTCGGGGCTGCCTGTTTTCTCTTGGCTTCAGGAAGGGGTGTGCTGAAGCACACGAGGGGAGGGGGATGGCACAGTGAGTTATTGATTATAAAAACACAATCTGCTCTGTGGGGTCTTGCCAGGGCCTGCTACAACTCCCCCAGGTTCTCATCCTCAGCCACGGACAGCAGTGAGTGTTTGGGGAATCACAGGAAGGGAACAGGGGAATTTCATGTCCTCCTTCCCCCATACACGAGCTCGTTTCTGTGCTGGGCTCCGAGTGCTTCTGGCAGAGGAAGCTGAAAAGGGGCCCGTGGGGCCAGGATGGCCAGGAAGGTAGGCAGGGCACTGGGAGTAGTAGTGGGAGGAAGGAGATGGTCCCAGGAGAAGGACAGTCATCTCTGTTTCATTGCATTCTCCTCCACTGGGGAGTGGCAGTCCTTCAGCAGAACCCTCAGCACCCGAGGGCCAACAGAGGCTACTTGTGTGATGTTAGAGTTCCCTTCCCCGAGAGCCTGAGCTCCCTTCAGGACCAGCCTCTGAGCAAACCCTTTCTGTGTCAGTTCCTCTACTTCTGAAAGATGCATTTGGCATGTTTCTCTTTGTGCATTTATAAAGAACCATTACCAAATGCTAGAAAGGAAACCTGCCAACTGTAGCTGTGGGATAGAAAAATAATCTATGAAACATACCATTAAGACAAAAACATATGGCAATGTGCTAATCCCTCTTCTCCACCTCACAACTAGCCCCAAATCTAGGCCAAGCAGTCAGTGCAGATTATAGCACATAAGAAAAGCTCATTTCTGCCAACAGCTCCTCCTTCAGCTGCCCCTGAACCACTTGTCTGTCTGCCTGTTCCTGAAATGCAGGACAGAGTCATCTCCGAGTTGATCTGGCAGCTATTTACTTGCTCTCACCCTGCAATCAGGAGATGGTCCCTGTGCAGAAAGAGGCAAGTCCTGCCGCAGGGAGGTTCGGGATGGCTCTGCACACAAGAGCAGAGTTTTCCCCATGGGCAGGGGGTACAAGGGCTCCCTCCTCTCCTCCAGCCCCTGTGGAGCAGCAGTGCTCTGCTGGACACGGCTCCAGAAAGGTGAGAGGGGTTTGCAAATGGCAAGAGAAGCACCAGAGGAACAGATGCTCCAATCACAACTAATAACACAGTCCTGGAATGCAACGCACAGGGACAGAGCCAGTTAGAAACAAACCTTCAGCTTCCGACTCCCAGGGAACTCCTGACATTGTTCTCACTGCAAAAATGGTGCTGATTCTGGGAAACGCACCCTGGGGGGGCAGGGCCTGGCTGGAGCCAAGTGCAGTATGTGCTGCTACCTGGGCTCACCTGGTGTTTGAAGCCAGCTCTGTGTCCCTTACCTGGGGCACACCTTGCTGCCACCTCCAGAGCAGGAAGGACCCTGGGAAGGGAGGGACCTCAGGGCACGTTCACACAGCAGCTATTCACGTAAGCAGCACAGTGCACTGAGCTCATGTGCTCTGTTTTTTTTCAGATGAGAAGCCCAAAACGGTGGAATCTGATTTTTTGCTCTGCCCTGCGCCAGTCCTGTACAAAAGTGGCCAGTAAGTACTGAATACATGTCATGCCATGCTTTGCTGGAATTGGCACTGCTGTAGCTGATGTTAATCATGAAGTTTGGCTAGAGGCAAATCTTTCTTTGCTTTTAGAGGGGTTGGTTTGTTGCTGCGTTTTCCCCCCATTCTTATGTGATTTCCCTGGTGTGTTTGTCAGCTTTGCAATGGGCTTTAAATAGTCATCTGTGACCAAACCCATTTGGACAGTGCCTTAAAAATGAATATTCAGCCAGTTTGTGAAACACTGAAAAGGTCTGGCTTGTCATAAGTTTTATGCAGATGAGCTGCTTTAGCAGGGCACAGTCTGCTCTCTTTGGGATGATCTCCAGGCTCACTGTTAAGCAGATGACATTATCAGTGACACTTACAAGCTATTATTAAAATTAGGTGTCAGGATGGGTACCCTTGCTCCACACAGCCTGATGCAACCAGGCACCGAGCTAAGAGCCTGGGCACTGGGGCCAAACTGCAGCTCTGGCCTTCGTGTCACTGGCCAGGGCTGCACGTAGCTCCTGGCCCTTGGAGAGCTCATCCTCCCTCCTCCTCCTCTCCCAACCCCGACGTGCCCCAGGCTCTCCAGATCACTTTGGCTTCACTCTCTGGATTTCTGAGACCCTAAGCTAATCTGAAGTCAGATCTGGGCCCTGTGGGAGGGCCAAGGCTTTGGCTGCTGCTTTCTCCCTGTTGGCAATTAGCTCTCAGAGAGGCCTTTGGGATGAGGCTAATCCCAACCCAGTAGGAAGCACAGGAGTCCTGCACTGGCATTCTGCTGTGGCAAGTCCAGCAGTCCAAGAACTAAACATCTTGCGCAGATGATTTGTCTGTTGTTACACTCCTGAGTTCAGCAACAGTCAGCCACCTCAGCTGTGCTGCAAGAGGAATAGCAAAGCTCCACACACATTGGTTTGTGCATTAAATGGCAGGCTGGGGGAGGAAGGGAAGCTGCAGAGAGGAAAGCAGAGTGGCCGTGCCCTGGTCATGGCCAGCACAGGGCAGAGGGAGGGGGGAGAGGGGCCTTGATGCTGGGGTGGCTCCTGGTGCTGTCTCCCATAGCTGTGTCAGACGTTTGTGGCAGGGATCATCAGACCCCTGTGCATCCCCCAGAGCAGCCGGCTGGGCTGGGCTCTGGGCAGGGGCACAGCTGCTGCCTCAGCTGAACGTGGGCAGCACCACTGCAGGGCCACGAGGACCGACCCGCGCCGGGCACAGGCGACCCTCGGGGAGGACCCTCCTCCCCAGCCAGGGGCATCGGGCAGTTACCTCAGCACAGCAGAGCCAGTGAGGCCCAGTATTCAGCCTCCCCAAACCTGGTGCTCTAAATGCTGTCCCACAGTCAGTCTAGGAGGAGGTCGCCAGCCTGCCCTGCCAAATGCAGGTGCAGTGCATGGAATGCTCGTACAGAGCCAGGCAGTGCAAGCTGGGGGCACGCGCTGCGTTTTTCCCTGGCTGTGAAGTGTCCCTGAGCCAGGGAGCTGCCACCCTGGCACTGCAGCTGGGTAAGGCACCTCAGCATGGCACCGGAGGCCGTGCAGGCTCTCGGGGAAAGCTGTTTCCCAAAGTTCCCCTGGGAAATGCAGTTCCCTAACCTGCTATTGGAGGAGTTGGAGCTTTGGCCCAGAGCTGAGCAGTTTGCTGTGCAGAAGACTGACAGCTATGAAAGATATGTACATACTTGAACCCTTGACTTCCCATTGGCACAGCTCAGAGTAGTGCTGGATATCTCCCAGTAATTCCTCATGTAGTGGAGCTAATATTAGTCACTAATGTAGCAACAACCACTCTGCTCTTTTCTAGTGCTTATTTTTGGTGGAATTAAGAGAGCACAAGCAGCCCAAGTCAGCTTTGTGGCTTTTAGACCTGCAGCTTGGTGTCTGGGTAAAGTCAGGACTCACTTAACAGGTTGCATTGTTTATTTGTTCTAGTTAGAGACACTTCTTGTTGCCTGGTGAATTAGCAGCTTTCACAGGCAGAGCAAGAGAGAGCCCTGTGGAACAGCTAAAAAGCCCAAGTACCAGGATGCTGGTGGGTGAGCCCCTGCTCTCCTGGACTTGTGCCATGGGGTATTCCTGCTTCCTTCCCAGCTGCAGGCTGCAGTTAGTCAGGAGCCTCCCGAGCACCAGCTGTGGGTTTAACCCAGCATTCTTCTCAAGGCCTGTTTCTCCTCAGCACCCTGAGCAGATGGATGTGGTATCCTTAGGGTGGGTGATAACATGACTGTGCTGCTTGTGCCACTCAAAATCCCTCCTTGTCATGCCCCTTCTGTCCCATAGTCTGTTACAAATCCAGACCATTTACAAGGCTCCCGATGAGCTAACGGCTGACAAGGGCTCGGGATTTCCATATCAGCAACCCGTGCATTATAAAACAGGTTAGAAAGCGTGAAACACTGCAGAGAGGGAAAGGACATGTACAGCTTGCAGGAGGGGAGGAGACAGCCCCAGGCTGCACTGCTCCCAGAGATCACTCGCCCCCTGCCACGGCAGGTGGGGCACAGCCACGGGTTAGTACACAGGGCCCTGGTTCTGCTGCACTGCCCATGTCACAGCCACACTGCAGTCTGAGAAAATCCCTTCCCCTTTTTAGCTCAGATTTGGATTTGCTGTCCTGCCACAGCTCAAGAGAATCAGACCAAACCAGAGATGGCTTTGACCTCTCTATTACTGTACATGTTCCTGTAGTCATTGTGCCTTGGAAAGCAAACAGAGCCCTTGTCTCTTTGAACACTGGCACAGGAGAGACTGGGGTATTGCTGTAAGATGACATTCCATATCCACCATTGTCCTCTCTGTTTTGCTCTAAATTCTGCGAGCTTGCTCTCAGAACAGTCTGTAGGCTTGGCCTCACCAGCAGCTGGCCTTGCTCCAGGAAGCTGTGGTGAAACCCCCTCTGCCTTCCATGGGAAGGCCTGCAGGAAAAGCTGCATCTTACTGCCTGAACACTTAAAAATTCCCTTGTTATGAGAGTGGCTGACAGAAATTACAGTTTGAACTAGCACAACAGTATGCTATTTCACTGACATGCTTGTGGTGAACAATCACCTCAGTCTGCTTGAACTCTAGTCCCTCCCTGGGATATTGCAGTAACACTTTGGGTTTACTGGTACCCACTGAAAACATGCTATTTCACCTTGTGCAGAACCTCCTCTAAGCCAGGCAAGCAAGGATGGATCTAGACTAGGCAGTGGATTTTTCAGAGTGAACCAACAGGCTGAGGAACTGTTGTTGTCCTTAAAATAGCCCAGGGAGCTAGAGAAGTCTATTTTTTCCAGGCAGCTGCAGTGCTGCTGGCCACCTCCCACCTCCGAGCACCCTGTCCCTCCACTCGGGGCGAGCTGGGAGTGCAGTGTCCCTCTCCCTGCTCTGTGAGCGTGGGGAGCAGCACAGCCAGGAGGGACAAACCCCAGCACCGACCTGAGGGCACAGTACCTCGACTCTGATCCGCTCTGCTGCTGCTAACGACCTCATCTGCCCTCCCTGCAAACCCTGCTGGCTTCAGCTTCCTCTGGCCTTCCTACATCCTGTCCAACAGGACAGCTGCTGGCACTTAAGGAGCAGGGACTCAATAGGAACTATTTTCTGTGCGGTAGGAAGGAAAATGACTGCTCTTGTATTGCCTGTGGTTTCCAAAGAGCTGACGGAGCTTGGGGCAGCTCACTTGACACAAAGCACACAGCAGTGCAGGAGGTGATCTGTTACCCATCACCAGACTGATTTTCCTTCGTGTATGGCTAGCAGTAAGAGCTCTTGGCAACAGCACAAGTTCACAAGTTTAGTGGTGCCTTTCAAAGTACTTCCTTGCCAGACATTCCAATAAGGAAGTACTGAGGGACAGCCTAACCTTCCTGAGCAAGGCTTGTGTGGGTCTGGAGATAGCTGGAGAATGAACAGCTGAGACTCTTACAGCTGTAAGAGCAAGTTCTAGAAAAAAGACACAGTGGGAAATGATCTCTAGGACTAAGCACGTGGCTTTATGGCCCTGAGCCACAAAAGCTACCTCGAGACTTGCTGTTATTTGGCCATTACCCAGGGCCCTCACAGGAGGAGCCCGTGCCACTCTAGTCTTTGTTCCTCCCACTGCCAACAGCTGCTTTGCTGTTTGTACACTCCTTGTGCAGGGAGTGGCAGCTCCACTCCCAGCACTGGGAGGTCTCTGAACTGACACTGCTCAGGTCTTCAGATTTTACTTTGCTTCGTTTCTGGTTTGTCACCTGTTTCCTTTTGATGTGGTCCTGACAGCTGAGGTGTTCCTCAGCCCTTCAGCATAAGAACATGAGGGAAGAAGGCAGTACCCATCTCCTTATTTCATGTAACACTCAGCCTGGCAGGAACCTGGTTCAGGACCCCGTGTCACCACCCATTGCAGCCACATGGTTTCTCTGCTGAGGTTCCTCCATTCCTCTGCGTGTAGGTTCTGTTTCATTAGCAGAAACCCCCTGGTTTCTAACCCAGCAGGACACAGGCCCTGTAATGGCCAGGAAAGTGCTCTGTGTTCATTTCATCACGTACCTCTGCCTATTTCTGTCTGAGCCAGTGCAAACCCAAGCTCCATTTCTTTTCCTTTCGATACCACCTCCGTAACCTCTGATTCTCTGGCCCAAGTTTTGGTAGCGTGATCTCAGTCTCTGGAGTACAGCTCAGGGCAGAATTAGCTGCTCTGTGCGTGCTGTGGCTGGCAGGGCTGAGGCAGAGGGAGGCAGCCACAGGCTCTGAGCCGAACACAGCTCCGAGCGCATCTCAGGAGGGACATGGGGACAGCCGGGGAGGTCCTGTCTGCTGGGAGAGCCTGGAGCTCTGTGCACTGCAGGAGACTTGTGCACTCACTGCACTGGGAGTGTTTGAGGCAGCTCACAGGGTGCACCAAGGTCCTGCTCACTGCTCTGGGGCCTCGAGCATTGCTCGCAGCAGCCACAAGTGCAGCGAGCTCAGGAGGACATGCCCAGGCTGCCACTCCTGCCCTCGGTTCCCACCTCCCTGGGAATCGCCCTGTCAGTAC